GTAAGAATTCTGAGCTTACCCAGATCAGAGTGTGATTTAATGAGCAAACCAAGCCCTAACAAATGTAATTGCATCTTAGGGGTGGCTCTGTGATAAACTGAGGTGAGAGAGTAACTGCAAAGGTGGAGGGATTATTTTCATGTGGGAAGGGAAAATAATTTGCTGGTAGGGAGTACTCCAACCTTGGGGCAAACTGGAAAGGTTCAGTCTGTGTCCAGCGCTGAATTAAAGCTGTGTCATGAGATGCAATTCTTTCTCTGGAACCCCAAATCCTGCAGGCTTCCTGTAACATAAAGTCCCATTACACAAGGCTGTGGAGAAATGCGAGAATCAATACAGACATAACAAACTCTTCTGATGTTTATACTATGTTTATTATTCTTCCATGTTATCAAGGCCTGCCACAACCCATGTGTTTGATCTCTGAACAATCTTGGCCCTCATGGGAGGAGCTGAAGGGACAATCATAGAATCATAGAATCATAGAATCTTAGGGGTTGGAAGGGACCAAGGAAAGATCATCTAGTCCAACCCCCCCTGCCAGAGCAGGGTCACCTAGAGCACACCACACAGGAATGCATCCAGGTGGGTTTTGAATGTCTCCAGTGAAGGAGACTCCACAACCTCCCTGGGCAGCCTGTTCCAGGGCTCTGTCACTCTCACAGTAAAACAATTTTTTCGGATATTCACCTTGAACCTCCTATGCTCCAATTTGCACCCATTACCCCTTGTCCTATCCCTGGTCATCACTGAGAAAAGCCTAACTCCATCTCCCTGACACTCACCCCTTACATATTTGTAAACATTGATGAGGTCACCCCTCAGTCTCCTTTTCTCCAAGCTAAAGAGACCCAGCTCCCTCAGCCTTTCCTCATCAGGGAGATGTTCCACTCCCTTAATCATCTTTGTAGCTCTGTGCTGGATTCTTTCAATGCCACGTCCCTGCTGTTGGTGGCTGTTAAATCAGCAGAAATCCCCAATCTCTACAGGCTCTGAGCAGGTTTCTCAGGAAACTGGGTGCTGGGGCAGGCAGCAGGTCATCAACTGCATCTCAGGGGTGCACCCACACACGTATGAAAAGAACATACAAAAAGGGCATAAAAGGACCAGATAGTGCACATACAGCCTTAACAAAGGACAAGGGACAATGTGTACACTGAGGAGGATCTCTAAACCAAATGTTTTGGTTGTTTGTGCCAAATCCAAGGAAACAGGATTGTACAAATACTCTGTGAAAAGACAGCGTTGCACTCAAGTTTTTTTACTTTGGCTTTACTCCTCCCTTCCCCCTTGCACATTTTTAATCGCTTCCTTTCCCTTCCTTTTTTTCTTCCATTACGTCCGTTTCCACCTTTTGTTTCCAATAAACCCGTATGAAAGAGGCGCAGCACCAGGGCCTGGAGCCCCTGCAGCTCCTGTGCCTCAGCCCCTGCCCGCTGCAGCTGCACAGCCCGGGCCCC